CCCTATAGCATGACTATGGTCTGGACTGCTGCATAATTCGCCTCCACCCCTGGGGCTTCGTAAGTATGGCTTTAGAACTGAAAACCAAAGCCTAATCATAGAAAGAATAAAGAATGTGCCTTTTCCCCAATACAGGTTGCCTTGGGTTGTTGATTTCTGAATTGCTTTTTGTTCTAGCTTGATTTTAGGTTCACGCTTTGTATTTCTGGAGGGCTAATATTTTTAAAAACCCTCACTCAAATGTCACTTTTCAGTATACTGCTGATCTTTACTTTGATGTGCATTTCCTGGCTTCCCTTTCTTGTGTAGCAGATCGTAGGGAAATTGTTGTATGGTACATTGCCATGGTTGAGAAGGGTTGCATGTGTCTTGCTTGGTACCTCCCCAGGCTGGGAGCACCCATCTGTTTTGGTTAGGAGTTTGTCCCAAGTCTTCAAATGAAGCTTCCGACCAAAAGGGAAATAGTATTATTAAAATTATTGCTATTAGGTTCAGACTAGCATAGCCAGCATCATAAGACCATACTCTCTCCTCACATCTCTCTAATCCATTGCACAAGGAAAGGAAACCGAGTTATGTCCATCAACACAGAGATCAGGAGTATACTGCAAAACCACCTTTTGTGAGGGGTGTTTTAAAATGTTAGCCATAAAATGTCAAAGCTTGAACCTGAAAACAACCTATAAGAAAAAGTAGTTAAGAAGTCACTTGTTCAGTTATTTATTATATAACCAAAGCTCTCTTGGAAGTTCTTAACAATTACAACCATAAAATACAACGTAAGGCACACTATAAAAGTTTAAAACCATAGTATAAAATAGAAGTGAAAAACAAATAGCAGCCAAAACCTAACAACGGTGCAAAGATTTAAAACATGGTAAGTGTGGCCTGACCTCCTGCCTTTGCCCAGGGGGCCACAGGATAGGTCCGAGTGCAACCTGGCATCTCCAGGTATTTTTCTGGAGTCATGACAGGGACTTGCGTTCTTTCAGTGCCAGCTAGGCTCTGAAGGCAGAAGACCATTTTCAGAGCCAGAGAATGAGGGGGAATTCTGGGGGAAAGGAAGGGGAGGAGCAAGCTCCGCTCTCCCCCAAGGAAACCTGGGGATGCTTCAGCCTCTCCTCCCTGTAAGCATGGGGAAAAAGTAGATCACCCAAAATCTCTGTTTCAATGTGTTGCAAAGCAAGGAGGACACAGAGGCCCTCCTAGGTAGGGATATGTGAGGAATCCACTGAGTTCCCTGGACTCTGGGTAACAACATGGAAGGTTGTTCACATGGCACATGCAAGGAGTGGAGACCCATGTGCAGTAGGCTTTGTTTGTGGTGCTGCACAAGACGTGGAGAAAGTTGCTGTTTGTGAAACCTTCATTCTGTGAGCATTTCCAAGACAGGGCCAAGCACAAGAGGAGGTCTGTGAATGCTAGAAGGGTTTTGACACATTCCTCATCTTACCCTCTACATCCCTCCTATCCTCCACTGAATTCTGTAACCTTCCATGTTTGGTAGGATTCAGACAGCCATTTTGCATGGTACCCGAACATATGTTTTAAAAACAAACACTGAAAGACTGAGATGCCTGGGAGAATAGGAACATCTTGCTCTGATACAGGAGGCTGCCAGGTTAGACTCTCTGGGTAACTCATTCTGCAACCAGGGTATTACTACAGAAAAAACCAATGCAAGAGACCCCAGTAGGTCAGTTATTCTCAAGGAAGTGAACTGCTTGGGGACGGAGAAGACTGAATTTGCTTTGCTCTTGGTGGTGGCAGTCAGTACCAGTAGCTCAGCTTTGTGCCCATAGCCATGGTGCCTGTTGGGTCATTCCAAAACTGGGAAGCACCAAATTCTTGTAAGCTGTCCTGAGGCTGCTGTAATAGAATGGCATATACATGTTTTAAATAAATAAATATTGAAGTTTGCTCCCTTATTTTGACCTTTGGAAGTTTCCTTGGAAGAGGCTTTTTGATGATGAGCATATTAAACCAGAAGATCCTTACCAGGAGAGGCATTCCACCAGGTATTTCAATCCTGAGTTCATAAGGATTTGTAGGTCAAAACCAGGGCTTCAGCTGGGCTCAGAAACATACAGGAAATGCACATAAGTCTCCAAATTTGGAAGCTTGCAAACATCGAATGGCAAGGCAATCTCCACTCTACCATAACTCATAATCTTCATTTTCTCTAAATGACCTTTTTTGGTCATGTAGATTTAGTGCCAGGAAGTGGGGAGACTGGGCTGCCAGTGAGAATCAGGATCATTCCATAGTCCTAGCTTCTTCCCCTTCCTGTCCTTGTCACACACACCCTTTTTTCCCTCTGAGACCAGGTAGTGTCCTGGGTTAGTAGCTGGCACAGCTCCTCCACTGTCAATGGTGATGGGATTGGGGAGCTTGGCCTTGAATCTCAGAGTTGGGACTCCAAAAAATCCTATGTCATCCCAGATGCCAAGAGGCCAGAGGAATGAGCCATAACTCTGTTAATCTCCTTATAACAAAAAACTGTGTATTTTATACCCCATAACTGCCCAGAATGTGGGATAGAAGTCCCACTTAAGAAACCATGTCTCAGTGTCCTTGATCCTCTGATTGATGAGCATGAGAGCAATAAGTGCACATAGAATTAGAAGCTTTAGAAAATATATATGACACCATTTCAGAATTTCAGATCAGGCATATGATTTATTGAATATCTTCTTCTACATAGAGAGCTTCCCTCCCACTCAGGGAGATAACCCCAGAGTTTTCCTAGGTAAATGAGACTGAACTCTTTCTACCTGAGAGTTAAACCCAGAGATCCAAACTGGAATGTCAAAAAGATACTCAGCTGCTAAGCTTGAATAGCAGAAGGTATGAAATAATCACCTTGAGCCAAACCTGGAGATGGCTAAGATGGGTTGACTTAATTGTTCGCTTCCTTTGTGCAGCCCAGGACCAAGTGCTCTACATTTGCATATCTTGATACCTTATAAAGTAATCTGTGGTATGTTGTTGCTTTTTAAGGTCCATTTAGATCTCTTTCATGCTTTGGTGAACACCCAAACCTTGAATTTCTTCAAGTTGGGGATTAAACTATTCCTGGAGTATTAATTACCCCAAACCAGCTAATAAATGATTTAAATCTATTCTAGACTATGAACTCAACAATGCATCACTAGTCTTCAGCAAAAGGTGAGTTTCTACAACAGAGGGTATAAAAGTGTGAGACTCAGACAAATAAGATGAGTAGGTAGATCAGTTTGAAAATGGTTGAAAAGGGGCACAAAATATATAACTCTAACACCCCCAGTAACAGAAATTGGGTTTCAGACTTGTTTCTGCTGTCCACATCTTACTTGGCTGGATGTCTGATGGTATAATCATTTAATAAGAAGTAGTAGACATTTGTCTATGGAGGTTTAATGGAACTGGGACATTTGCTTGGTTGAAAGCTGACTTAAGGTCAATAAAGGAGAAAAAAGCTTCCCACCTTTCTGCCCTGTGAGCTAATATACAGTAGTGATCTCAATGGAGGGACCTGTTCTATGTGCAATCTATTTTCTCTCCCATTATATCATTATCACTAATCTGAAACAAGAACTTGCTGTTTAGAAACATTGCACAAATTTTTCCAAGTAGATGTAAGCAGGCTGCAAGGATGTTCACTTGCTGGATTTGCTTTCTCTCCTTCTTTGAACCCAGGGACTATATCTGCTTTGTCCCAAATATGCAAATTTACAGTCCTGTTAATAAAAGAGAATGGAAGCTCATCATTGAGCATTAGTTTTTAATGGATCAGGGCATCTGGAGTCAGGACTGGGTGCTTTTCCATATTTAATCTTGGCAACCAAATCAAACATTTCACCAGATTTTAGAGGTGCCATTCTGGAGCATTAAAAGTTAGTCGAGAATTAGAAGAAATGTCCTGGGACATGAAAAATACCAGAGAAATAATTTTCTCAATCATGTGGGAGGATACTACAAGCAAGGGATTCCTGATGATACCTCAAAGTTCCTTCTAGGCAGAAGGATATTTAAAAAAACACATTTGCATCAGTCCAATTTGTTCCTTTATTCTTCTAGCACAAGAGACCAAGAATGGGTCAAGCAATGATGATTCCAGAAGCATCAAACAAATCTTTGACGAACAAATCTTTGATGAAAAATTAACCTATGTAACTAATGTGTAAGTACCACTACCCTTGTAATAATCAATATAAATTTTTGGGGCCTTCTCTGCAAGTGACTGTGAGTTTGAAACCAATCTACAACACTTCTTCCTAACAAAGAGCTAAAAGTAAACTTTCCCATCATTTCACCAGGAGTACTTCCATTTAGGATAACTTAATAATGGTGACTAGCTAAAAGAGACAAGCTTATGCCAACAGAGTTCATGATACTATCCTTAGAATGTTTTATATAGGAGGACTGCCCTATAATATGATCAATTCCTCAAAGTTATTTAAATTTTACTAAGGAGATATGAAATGTGAAAGCTGGACAGCGAAGACAAGTGACAGAAAAAAGATGCATTTGAAACTTGGTGCTGAAGAAGAGCTTTGTGAATACCTTAGACTGACAGAAAGATGAAGAAGTGGGTCTTAGATGAGATTTAGACAGAACTGTCCCTTGAGATAAAAATGACAAAATTGAGGCTATCACATTTTAGGCACAACTTAAGAAGGCAAGACTTATTGCATGATTGAAAGTTGAAAGCAGAAGAGGGGGAAGTGAGATGTATTGATTCCGTAAAGGAAGCCACAGGCTTTAGTTTACAAGAGCTGAGTGGGACATATTGGAGGGCATTCATTCATATGGTCACCATAAGTCAGAGATAAATTGATGGTACATAACAGCAATGAGAGATCATTGTAGCTCAATCTGGCATTAGATCCTCAGCCAGAAAAATATGTTCAATTTGGAGCATTGCATCAACACAGATAATATATAGTTATGACTTCTCTCACTCAGGTTGCTTCTATGAAGAGCACTGAGATGAAGGAAGATGAATGTTAAAGAACAATAACTGGAGACAGCTATTCTTTATCAGAATTGTTACAGCAGTAGTTCCACAACTGGAAGTGCAGTTACTTTCACATTAAAAGTTGTTAGCATCAGGCAAAGCAGTCCAGCATTAGGCATCCCTCTATCTATCTGGTGAGTCGCTGCTAAAAAAGGGACAGTATTTCCATCAACTGAGATACCTTCACAACCCAGGTCCTTTGTAACAGAAGAATATCAAAAAACAAACACGGTTAACAAATATTTTGTCTCCAGTTTTCACCCTGCGTTCCATTCTGTTGCATAATAAACACCTGATCAGGGGCAGAGAGTTATATATCAGTCAGTGATATACAATGTCTTTTTTCTCTGCTCCTGGTCAAAGAGGACACAACACTTTTAAGAGGAACCATTTATTTAATGGGTTGTGCATGGCAAGTGAAAGAAAAGGGATTGCTAAAAATGAAAATACTTTGCCGTCCTTTAAAATTCCTTGTATAAAACAAACAACGGATAGCTGAACACATATTAATCCAGGTGCAGTTGGTCAAGAAGAGCCAGGCTGCAAGGCAGTAAATTCTTGGATTTCTCCCGTAAGATTTTGCTCCCAACCGTAAGTTTGCAAAGGCTTACTATTCTAGGATTCTGCTCCCTTTGCCAGGCTTTTGTCTTGGCTTCAGCTGATAATATATGGGTTTTTAATGATTACCTTGGCCATGTAAAAAATTAGCAGCAAACAAATAACACATACCTTCTTCTTACGCAAACTCTTAACTCACTTGTGTGCCACTTGCAATCCTAAAACAGTCTTTGGTTGGTGGACTTGTTGAAAACGTTTCTTGCATAACAAGAAACGTTTTGTTATGTGTGAACTAGGCCACTGTGCAGACTCAGTAATGCTGGGAAAGTCAGGAGTTTTCTTTTGTTTTTGCCATACAGTAGCTCTGTGCTAGCTCACAGGTCATTTCTGGAGCTGACTCAAAGTGCTGAGTTTGGCCTATACAGCCCGCCATGACTTGGCACCTTAGAACCTCTGGTTTGTATCTTCCCATATGTTGATACCAGCCACAAAAACCCTTCAAGAGTCCTGTCATTCCAGGATAGAGAGTTCTGGGTTGTGGCATCCCAGCCCTGGAATGCTCTCCCAACAGAAAATTTCCTTGTTATCTTTTATGTTATCTTTTTGGTTATCCCAAAAAGATAACATTATATTTAAAAAATATTTTGCTCATGCTTGTTTTAAGGTCTATTATTTTAGCTCTTAATTTTTAAAACCTTCATACCATTACTTTATGTTACTTCAATTTTGTGCTCACATTATCTTCTATGCTGTATTTGCACATATTTTAGCTTTACATTTAGTCGCATATTTATATTACACTTTAAAGTACACAACACTTAGACAATTGTACATATGGCAGACTGGATCCAGATTTAGGCATGTGTAACTAAATCTGGGCTGGTGGAAAGAAACCTCTCCTCCCACATGACAATCCTCCAGTCATGAGTACATGCTACATAGACAGTCAGGGGACTCTAGGGTGTGGGTGAGTTTTGGTGCAGTGGGAAGGCACATCCCCAAAATGTGGGTGGAGGCTTCTTCATGAGCAGAGTCCTGTCAAGAGGAAGATGATCCTAGTTTCAAGTTAATGTGCCTAATGAAATAGATAGAATCATAGAATAGTAGAGTTGGAAGGGCCCAGAAGCCCATCACGTCCAAGCTCCTGATATTGCAGGACACCAAGATGCACCATCCCTCTCAGATTATTGTCCTGATGCTTTTTGAATGCCTCTGGTGAGGGAGAGCCCACAATTTCCTGAGGTAATAGGTTCCCAAAATAGCCTCCCAAAGATAATACAAGGCCAAAAGCTACCTCATTATTTGCCAAGATGCATCCCAGTTGGGTGGTATCATGCGCAACCAGTTGAAATATGACATTCTAGAATAAATGCCATGAAAACAGTCTATATGGGACATGCTATGATTTTTACAGGAAACGTTTATTCTCACAACCTGCAGTGCACAGATACTCTTTCTTCTAACCAGAAATTGGGAACTACACCTCTGGGTTTGACATAATGCCATTCATTGTGTCCAGGCAGCTGGATTTACAGAGAGGATCAGGAAGCAAAGACTGTTGAGGAGCAATGCTATGGGGAAAACTCTGTGTGCTGGGCAGTCAACCCAAGAAGGAGTGAGTGATGACTGGACAGAAAAAAACTCCTTTAGAAAACAAAATATTATGCTACTGAAATACAAGGAAGATGGGGAGAGAGATTTCTCAAGAACAGGAACTGCAATAGGCTCTTTTGGTAGTTGAACTGCAGTCTTACTTGTTTTCCAAATGTGGCCCTTCATTCTGATTGGTTGCAGCAGCCATTGGGCCAAGCTAGTTAGCATTATATAAGGAAGCAAGCTCAGGAGGAAACCAGCTGCCCAAGTAAGTGGAGCACAAGTCACCAAGTGTCTTAGCTTGAATGACGACGTGTCAGCACACAAGTGAGTTAAGAGCTTGTGTAAGAAGAAGGTATGTGCTATTTACTTGCTACTAATTTATTTATTACATGGCCCAAGGTAATCATTAAAAACTCATAATTGTCAGCTGAAGCCAAGACAAAGGCCTGGCAAAAAGAGCAGAATCCTAGAATAGTAAGCCTTTGCAAACTTGCGGTTGGGAGCAAAATCCCAAGGGAGAAATCCAAGAAATCCAGTCTTGCAGCCTGGCTCTAACAGTGATGGCTGAGTTGTTGAAGAGAACTTTAAGCATATATTTTAGCTAAGCTAGGATAAACTAAACTAAAATTTAGAAATGGGCAACAAGAGCAACATGAACAGCACAAAGCCCTGGCTTGAGAAGCATCAGTGTGCAGACCTTGCTAGTGGAAGAATCTGCTTATTAACAAAAAAGTGAAGCTACACTCAGTGTAGGTTCAGTGTAAACTTGACTTTTCAGGGCTTATAGAGCAGCTCAGAATTATCTCCAAGTGTTCAGCTTATCCTTTACTTCACACACACACACACGCAATATCACCCTTGCAAACCACATCTCTTCCTAAATTAGATACCCAAGGGGAGGCTGAAGAACATCCTTTTCCAAATCACCTATACCAATCCCTCAAAATTGTCCAAACCCCTTGAAAACTACCCAACACTTTCCCCCCTGAATAGAACATCTCCTCTCCCCATGAACTCATTTCCACTCTCTTTTCAAATTGAGCCCTGTAATCAGATTTGCTGCAGTCATCCCTGGCTCAGTGTAGAGAGAGGTAGATAAGGAGGCAGGCTTGGGAAGCAGCTGGTTCTCTGAGTATGAGGAGCCCGGTGATTAATCATTTCAGCTGCAGTTGAAGCGTCAGCACACAAATGATTTAAGTCTCCATGCAAGTTTAGGAACAGGACAAGGGGCCAGGGCAATTAATTCTTTCCTCCATCCTCCCATTCTCAACAAATGGTTATAAATACCAATAAAATCTACATAAATGGCTGACCTTTCCTACTGAACAGCTTAATTCCCAGGTAAACAAACCTAATAATGAGGAAAAACAACACCGAAGGTAAAAAATTCACTAGCAGGGTGGGAGTATCCGGTGTATCACACTGAATGCCAGATGTATGACTATTTACCAGCTAGACAGAGGTCACGTGTGTGTCTTTGGTGTAATGATTGTATGGTCCTCAGGGAACAAATTTGTTCCCTTGAAACTAAGTTTCCCTGACCTGGAAAAACTAAGAGAGGAAGAGAGGCTGGTGGATGAGACCTTGGAGGCCCTAATCCCTAGATAATAGCCCCTCTGCCATTATGGAGAAGATGGGTCTTGAGGAAGGAGTTTCATTCTGAGAAAGGGAGAAATTATCCCTTAGAAGGCCAGTCCTTGGACGCTCTCAATGGGGCTACTAAACTCATCGTGTATTTTTGTGCAGAGATGCATATTTTTAGCATATCATGTGATTTTGCCTCCCTTTCTGTTCCTTCTGTTTTTCTTGAACAAGTTTTATCCTTCAATGACTTAATTCCAGTCATGGGAATCATCCCACCAAAGTTCAGGTATTATTTGCCCTCTTGTTTTAAGACCATCACTTACTTGATTGGTTGATTAATTGATTTCAGGGTCTACTGAGACATAATGTGCATTTAGGGCAAATCTACCTACTTGTATTGTGCAAGCTTTCACAGAGTTCTAAAAGCATTTTATGGTATCCAAATGCAACCCAACTGATATTTCTGGGCTATAAATTCCGAAGACTGTAGCTGTATGTTTCTGCATCTAGTTTCAGAGCAGTTTGCTTCTCATGGACTTCTCCATTAGTTCTGTGTTCTTCCTGATCATCTCTCACTATGCCTGGGATGTAGAAGGACAACGTTATAATACTACTTTCATCACAGTGCCCAATGGAGGGCGATGGGGTACTTGGGGGCCTGTTCAGTTTTGTCCCCGACCCCGAGGATATGCTCATGGTTTCTCATTGAAGGTAAGTGTTTCCCACCCTTACACTTTCCTCACACCCTTTCTCCTCTCTTACCCTCAAAGTAAGTCTCAGAATTCAAACCAAAAAGTTGGGAAAGAGTCAGGCAAGGTTATGCCTTTAGTTCTATCAGTCCTTTATGAAGAGTGAGAACAATGAAAGGGAATGGTGTGATAGATATGTGTTAGTTTAGGTTGCCAAGTGAAAGAAAAAGTCACTGAAAAAAGAAGAAACGAAGAGTTGCTGCTGCACTATGTGATGGTTGGTCAAATTCCAAGTTTGTATCAGAAAGGGTTAATATTTTCAGTTCATAGTCAGTGGACAGAATCCACTGGTTCATTTTTGCTGTGACTACTTAACTTCTGCTCCACTGACTGTGTTGTGCAAGCAGGTCCCATCACTTGTGTAATGGCACTTTAGCTCTTCTAGAGCAACCTGACAGAAGTGGAAAACTAAGGGAAGTTCAGCAGATCTCCCTCCAGAGATCTGCCCCAAACTTACAGAAACAAGCATTTCTGACTCCTTACAGAAATGAGCATTTCCAGTCATTCTGATGTTTCCTTAGGAGGCACTACATCTTCCTTGCAGAAGTATTGGGTGCTAACTGTACAACACAGTTGGCTGGATCTACTGCTTGTGCAACAGAATTAGTGGGGCAGAAAATAATTAGTGGGAGCATAGGGGCCCTGTTGCATACAATGTTTGTATTCATCTTTTTTAACTGAGCACAAAATACCCTTTATAATTGTGCAAGTTTATTCTCCAGCTTCATTGCTTTGCAATGATGCAATGTTTATTCTGTTTGTAGCAGATGTTAAGCTTGTTAGCCTACTGGCATGATTGCCAGGTGGATCTTATCCCAGACTGAGATTCATGGCAAGCTCATGCAATGATGAAAAAGAAGATAGTACCTTTGAAATAATTTGGTGGTTGGGGTATAAGAAGAGAGAAGGAGATGGAGCGCAGTTATGGAAAATCCTTTGCATGGCCAAGAACCCATGTTCAATGGATAGTATTATTTTCTCAGGAAAGACTGTCCTGAGATGTTAGTGAGCTCATTTGCCCATATATTCCACCTTGCCTTCTAAGGTCCTCTGGGGATAAACTTCTGATGTCTGCTTCCATAAGATTAATGTCAACTACACAAAGGACTTTTTTCGTGGTTTCCCATAAACTATGGAATGTTCTGTTGAAAGAGATGCATTAGATATACCAGTTTACTACCTTCAGAAATGAGTTAAAGATGTATCTCTTCCAACAGGCCATCCCTGATTAGTTCCCAAATTAGTTTTATTTAATAATCTCATTTTTTAATTTAATGTTGAGTTGTTATTGGTTTTAATCTCTTGTAGACCCTGCAGAGCTTATGGAAATGGAGTGGAATATAAAAATAAATAAATGCATGAGCAGGCAGAACTGGGCAAGATGGGCAAATGGTTTGAGTCAGTGAAAGACAGCTTCACACATTCCATTAAATTTAGCCCACTCGAAGTGCTGATATCCTTCCTTTTGATGTCAGTAATAGGGAAAATTGGATTTGGGATCTTATCCTTTGTTAGATTGGTTCCTTTCCTTTCACAGAAAACATCAGAATCCCATGTAACTTTTTTGTGGTATTTCAAAAGAAAAGAAGGTCAAAGATAAGAAGGAAAAGTTGTGGTGTATAATTAGCATCAGAGTGCAGAGTTCACAGGTTTAAAGCATGCTAGATTACTATGCCAGGAGTGCAATATTTTAAACAACCAGCTCAAGATTAGCATATTGGGCATATTGGGTTATGTTTGATGCATTGCTGCAGGCTCCCCGCACCCACCAAGAAACAAACAAACTCAAAGTCACCAAGACAGCTCCATTCAGAATATATACGACAACAAGCCAGTGGAGGGTCCTTGTAAATTTGACTAGCTGCATCCCAGTGGACTGGCTGGAGGCACATTTGATGTGGCTGGCAATGCAGATGCACAGCCAGCATTTGAATCACATGTAAAGAACTCACATCCATTCTTACTCTAGCTGGTATATTATACTACTTATCAACTGAGGCTGTACATCTGAGTGCCTGGGTGATTCCCCGTAGTACATGCTGGCTGGATTCAGGCCAGATTAGTTGTCCTGCAATTAGTAATGGCTCACTTGTGTTCAATGGGATTGAGAGTTATGCTCCCAGGTGTCCTGCCACCACTGGAGTCACCTTCAGAAGAGGATCAGAACTTCAAAATCAGTGGGCCCTCGGAGGCCCTGGCAGTGGCCAAGATGGCCTGGAGCCAACAATGATGATGCTTTCAAATCTACCTCCTGAAGGTCAGTGCCTGCGCTAAAGAGCATGCTGGCATGCCAGGATCCATGAAAGGATGGTGTCCAGGTGAAGCAGTGCTCACCTTACTGAAGTGAGATGGGCCGCCTGTGTGAGGAGAACATCCACAATCCTCTACTGTGTTGCAGCCAATCACTGAGTAGGGCTCAGGTACCTTTAGATATCTCAGCTTCCACTTGTAACTGGAGAGCAGCTGGAAACATTGCTATTGCAACCTGAGCTTGGCTTTGCTTGATGCTACCTTTTCAAGTTCTGAGCATATATGACCGATATCCCATGTGTTCAACCTTGGTTATGTCCCTGACTTCTCTCTGGCAAATCTGTTTGACCAGTAAACCATGGCTACTTTTTAGTTTGCTTTGACTTGTCAATTGCAACGGACTTGGTATTTGCATGACAAGGAACATCACTTAGACCTGGAAAATGAAATGTGAATAACTTGACCTGGATCTAGCCCTATTGTCTGTTACTGATGTAGACATGCAAGCAATTTTTCCATCTTAGATTCAGCCATGGCTTTAGAAGAATCTTCTTCTCCCACCAGATACAGACATTCTTAGGTCCTGGAACCAGGTTTGATGATACAGCAATGAATGGAATTCGGCTGTACTGTGAGAATGGGGCAGTCATTGAGTCTGCAGTTGCTCCGTGAGTAGAGTGCTTTTGCTTTCTCTGTTTCTTGGGCTTTAGCATATCCATATGGTGGGAGGAACCATGTTTAAACGTTTATGCAAGCTACCATACAAAGATACCATTCATTGTTATGAATTCTCAATATCATTTTCTGGTCTTTGACACAACTTTACAATATCCATATCTTCCTGGCAGTACCAGAATTGACAGAAAGCATGATGCTACTGGGCAGCTTTTAAAGAAATCTGACAACAACAACAACAACAAAAAACAAATACAAATACCAGATCAATAAGCCCCATTGCATGAGAATCATCTTGACAGTGAAAAATGGCCACATTGGCACCGAACAGCCCTTCCCTCGAGAGCATTCCATCATTAAGGCGCTCCCACCCAGAGGGCCCTGTCCCTTGCTGCCATCCTCTGAACCACTCTTGGAGAAGTGCTTCAGACAGCAGCCATGACTCGTACCGCAGCTGATCTGGTCAGCTGATCATGCCATCTGGTCTAGCTGCTCTTCCCCTTGCAGTTGTTGCTTGTCCATTAGTGTCGCAGGACACCTACGCAGGAAAAGAAGCATAGAGAAGGAGCAGCCATCTTGTTCTTGACAGCCAGATGCTTTGGTCTGAGAGGAGAAGGCAAGTGAACAGGCAACGATGAAACTAGTCCTACTACTAATTTGGAGTGTACTAGGCCAGTGAGACAGACTGGGGACCCTATAATCCATCAGTCTCTACACGAGCTGACAGAGGTAGTCTCAGTTGTGAAGTTGAAGGTCAGCCAGACAGTAGGATGTCATCAGCCCAACACATGTTGTTTGGCATTGTCTGGTCATAGTCTTCTTGGTCAGATAGAAGAATGGTGCTCTGGACGTAGGGGACTTAGCCCTTTGTCAATCATCAAATCACCACCTGCTGAGGTTTAGATGGATTGTGGCTTGTTCCCTCTGTAAGGATGAGGGACCTATCCAGATTGCCCACCCTTGGAGGTCAATGGATCTGGATGACTTCCAAGGGGTCTGGGGAGCTTTTCCAGCTGATATGTCTGCCATTCCTGTCAAACCCCCAACCAAACACAGAAATCACTCCTCAGTGCCCTTTCTGTATTTCTTCTGCAGTGTTGTTCTCACTGCATGTTTTTAATTGTAGTTTTATAAGATTTTGCAGCTTTTTATTGTATTTTATTACTTTGTTTATATGTACTGTTGCAAACTGCCCAGGGAGCTTTAGCTAACAGGCAGTATAGAAAGGAAATACATAAATCACCACCACCACCTATGGGGAGCCCTTATCAAAAGCATGATGCTGAAAATGCCCAAGCATTGAAGCTACTACCACTGTCTTATGGAAAGCAAAAAGAACAAATTCCACACATGTAGAACCTCCGTCTGCTATACCATGACATGTTTGACCACTCCTACCAAAGACTACACATCCTGTATTATATGTCAGGATCCTCTCTCTCTCTCTCTCTCTCTCTCTCTCTCTCTCTCTCTCTCTCTCATATATATATATATATATATATATATATATATATATATATATATTCTCTCTGTGTGTAGAACTGGAGTCTGGTGTAGGTGCTGTGACTGCACAGCAGCACTGGAGGATCTGTATCCTGAAAGTATTTCTTTGATAAATACAGAGAAAGAGGCCTGCCAGGGAAGAGTGACGCTAATGGGGAACAGGCATAAGAGTCCAGCGTGCAGTCTTCATTGCAAGACAGTGCTCTTCCAGCTATTGGATGCTGCTGCTGGGGATTAACTGTGGGAGATTTCAATCACAGTAATGTTAAGCTGCTGCATATCACTGAGCCTGCACAATGCTTGCTCAAAAAGCCAAACTGGGTGTTCCTTTGCTTTCAACACAATAGAACAGCATACCTGCTTTTAAAACTAACTACTTACACTGGAATCTGCATCTTTTTCATGCATTCTTGGGAGTTCATTCCATCTGGTTTAACACAAGGCAAATGGGTTAGCTCCCAAATAAGGCTCAGAGATGTAAATGTTGACTAAAGATTTGTACTTTGCTCCATTTGGGAGAGAGCAAGACATCTCTCTACAGCAGCCTTCCCAAAAATGGTGTCCTCCAGATGCATTGGGTGCCAGCTCACAAAATGTCTGACCAGCAGAGTCCATGTCCTTGGGAACAGGGGAGGCTGGTGACTCCTCATCCACTGCAGCTTTTATTTTGTGCTTTAGAAGATCCATCTATGGTACTCCATGGTAGTTAACGCATTTTTGGGGGTGGACTTCAGCTGTGATTAATGGTGGTATAGAAATGAAATGAAATAATTAAATAATGAACTACATGGACATAGGCAACTTTCCTGCTCAGGAATATCCGTGGAAGTTCACCAGGCTGGGGAAGGCTGATTTAGAGGGATGGATGCATTTAACAGGTTGGCCGCATTATGGAAGTTGTGAGTACTCAGTCGGGGAGTTGAGAAACACAGGCATCTCCCCACTGAATCCTTGTAAACAGACTGTGGCAACTGAATCTCTGCTTAGGTCAATTTCACCCACACCTGTAAACTGTTCCCACTTGTCTTTCCAAGGCAGAAGATGCTCCACATTCTAGAGGAACACCATTTTCTCAGTGCAAGTAGACTGAGAAATTTCAGCTAATCTCATAGCCAAATTAAACAATATAAATCCTTCATCTTTCTCTGGGACAAAAATGACACTCAGCATGATGGTGCCTTTCTTTGGGCACCTGTAGGACTTGCCCCCTGCCATCTAGGGCTGCCAACAACAGAAGATTAAGGGAGTTCTTCCTTACTGATAAGAGTCTCCAGGAATTGCTTCTCCATCATTGCAATCTTCTTGTTCACCACCTTTCACACAACGGTGGGGGTGAGGAACAGGAGCCATCGATGGCACTGCCTACTGCCTGCCAAACAAGCAAGCAAGGAGTCAGGAGGAGGAGGAAGATCTATGGTAGGCGGTGGGACAGTTGGTGAGGAGGTAAACTCACTGAGGAAAGATGCACTGAGTGAGAACATCCTACCCAGGGGTCCTCAAACTTTTTCAATAGGGGGCCAGTTGAAAGGCAGCGGTGACTGGCTGGTGAGGCAGGGGTGCCGGGGTGCATGGGCCAGTGAGGCGGCGTCGGATGCGCATGATGGCAGCTCGCTCGCTTGCTTGGATATCTCCCGGTGAGTCCAAAACCATCTCCAAGTAAGCAAGCAAGCCACCACCTCCCCGTGCGCACTGGTGGTGGGCGGTGGCGCGGGCCAGATAGATGGGCATGGTGGGCTGGATCTGTCCCGGGGGCCGTAGTTTGAGGACCCACGATCTTACCCAACAACCCTAAAACACCTGGAGCTGCCCCCACACAAGTGTGCTCTTTGGCTGGAAAAGAAAGTCTGCTGGAACCAGGGGGAACCGCCACCACCTTCATCTAGTGCAAATAGAGGAGAGAGGGGCAAAGGTGGGCATTTGAAAGACAGTATAAGTGAAGCCCTCAAGATATTGTCCCCAGAATCAGAATCCGCTTGAATGCTAAACAAGGCTTGAACTCTTTTTAGTGAGCATAATGGTATACATTCATTTTTAAAATTTTTCTTCTTTGGCAGGTGGGGATTATGGACAAAGCCAAAGTTTTGCCATAAAGGTTATGGCCCTCTGAGAGCTTTCTCTATGAGGGTAGAACCAGACCAAGGAAGTGGTGATGATACAGCCGTCAACGATGTCCAGTTCATTTGTGGAGAGAAACATAAATTGTTCGGCGGAGGCCTTAACTGGGGTACTTTTGACAAGTGGAGCAAAGCCTGCCCAGATGGCTATGTGTGTGGATTACAAACAAAAGTGCAGGAAGATCAAGGTGAGGGTGACAACACAGGACTGAATGATATTAAGCTCTTCTGCTGTAGTGGTTGAACCGCAAGTGTTGTTTTCCCATGATACTGAAAATAATAAAGTGGTTGCCATTGCCGACTAGCAACTGATATCTTTCTCCTCTATTCAGTTGCGTTTGCCCTCTCCTAATTTCAGACGAGTGTGCAATTTTCATTGTGTTGTATGCTCACATTTTGTGAAGAAATAAGAACTTTTCATTGTGGGCCCACTGGAATCCCAAGCTTTGTAATTTTGCTACCACATTTTTTCCAAAAAGCTGATCTGTGGTAACTTCCTTTGACTTAAAACTGGAGAAAGTAACCAGGTTTGCATGGGTTGGAAAGGCCCTTAGACAATACAGCAAAGTCTTGCCTGTCCCAGCTGAGTGAAGCTCTCACCTCTGGAACCCTTACCAGTGGCCTCTGCTCTTGGGCGTCCAGTGGAGGAGGGCCTTGTCCTCTCCTCCTGAGAGGGGTCCTGCACAGTGAGGCGCAACTCTTTCCTTCAGCGTAGCTTCTCCAAAAGCCAGGCTGCATCAATTGCAAAACTATGTGCTAGTTACCACTGAGGGATTGAAGATAGTGCTGCACACTTGAAATGCATATGTAAATGAGCGCATGGGGCAACAGTTGCATACCCTAAATATTAAAGTATAGCAAAGTTAACGAACATAATTTGCAAACATTTTTTGTTCTAATAGAAGTAGTACTACATCCAGATGTTTAAAGCAGGTTGCCAAAATCTGCTGAATCACTTTTGATCTATCTCTGTGAAATAAAACATGGCGCAGTGTACCAGTCGGTTCAAATCACAAGGGCAGAGTCTTAAAGCTGTGTGTGTTCCCCCACAACAGCCCTCTAACTCTTGAAACTACATCATATTCAACCTCAACAAATGTGAGAGCAACACATAATTTGGGGTAGTAAGTTTCCATAAATAATAAATGCTTTGCAACATGCTAGGAAAGGTCAGTTACAGAACTAAAGATAAATTATTACGGTTGGCTTATGCCAGCTGGTACTGCCTGTCCTTATCCTCAATTTTGTCTAAGGATAGAGTTTATAATCGATACCCTTCAAGTGCAAATGTTGATGAAGAATCAAGCATATGATGCTACCACCTAGATCAGAACTTAAGGAAAGCCATGTTCGGTCAAAATGATGGTCCATGAAGCCCAGCATGCTGATCACACAGTTGCCAACCAGCTGCCTGTAGGAATCCACAGGCAAAATGTACATGCAACACTACCCCTCCACCCATGCTCCCCAACAGCTGTTGTACACAGGCACACCACCTCTGATATAGAGATAGCATATAGCTTTCTCCCCCGTGAACTTTTCACTCCCCTCTTAAAGCCAAATCAGTGGTCATCGCTTGCCTTTGCAGAGCTGTGTTGATTCTTCATCAGCAGGCACCTTCCTTCTATATGCTTTCTTATTTCTATCTTTAATAATACTTCCACTGAATTTGCCTTAAGCTCACTGGCATTTAATTTACAGATCCCCCAGAGCCCTTTTAAAAATTAGGTGTCCAACTGGTAATTCTCCAGTCCTTTCGTACAGAGGCTGATCTTAGGGCACAGGCTACATATCTGTTTTGTATATTTTGCTCTGAAAACAGGTGAAAAGAATATTTTCAGTTTCTCTGCAATCTCCTCTTTTTAGTCCCCCTTACCTATGTTATCCTCCAATGGTCCAGCCACTCTCTGACTGGTTTTTGCTTCAGCTATATTTCAATAACTCTTTATTGTTGGCTTTGCTACTATGAGTGATATGCTCCTTAAAAAGATTTCTTGCATCTCTTTTCATCTGATTGCATCTCCTTGTGCAAGCTTCTGTTCCCTATTGCTTCTTCATTTGGGTAAGACTTCCATTTTCTGAAGGAAGTAATCTTTTCTCTAATAGCTTCCTTGACACTACTTACTAACCATGATGGTCACTTCTTGGACTTTGTGATATTGTTCCTAGCATTTGATATAGATAAAATATGAACTTATGAGTAATCTTGATGTGTATTGAAGAAATTTAACTCCCTGGGTGCCCCCTTTCAATTTCCTTTTTACTAGTTCACTGCTTCCAATTGGTTCAATAACATTTACATCCCATACAGGTGCTGGGCAACTCCCCCTAGGATTAAATCCACGGTTGCCTCCTCTCTAGTCAGTTCTAGGCTGAGGTCATTTAGGGCATTGAGAAATCGTGACTTTTTGCCAGGATTGGAATATACATTTATCCAGTCAATACTGAGTTATTTATTGGTTTTAATTTCTTGTAAACCACTCAGAACCTATGGGAATGGGGCAATATATAAATATTAAGATAAAATAAATAAAAAAGATAGCTGAACTTACCCACTTCCTTGTTACCCACTTTCTATAGCATTTTCTTGTTTTGAGGCCTCCCTGATTTCATTTTCCATCTCAAGAATGAACTGAGCATTCTGGTCTCATGGCGCATATCATGTTCTTAGGACTAAATCCATTTTGCAGCCAGGAATTGTTAACCACAGTGCTTCTGTGGAGGAGTCTGCATCTTTTTAATTTTCACTTTTGTTGGACTCCACGGCATCCTCGATATGCCAAGCAACATTGTCAGGATCTGAGGCAGCTTTAGGACTACATCTGCTGGCTGGGCACTGGGATAGAAGCCCTGGTAGTTGCGGGATTATTCCCTCAAGCTCCTGCAGCTGCCAGGGCCCTCATGAGCACCACCTGGGAGGCTTGTGGGGAAGAGCTGTATAAGAACGGGCTGTTTCCTCCCAAAGCTGTCTCAACAATGAAGAGTCCTTGCCTTGCCTCAGTGCTTCTCACCTCCCAGTTGTTGTTACTGGTATCCCTGGACCTTGCTCCTGTTCCTGGCTCTTATTTTTGTTTCAGCGCCCAGGTATCCCCTCTGGTTTGTGTGGCTTCACCAGTCACCGACTTCTGGGTTGCCTTGACCATGTTATTATTTAGTGGACTGTGCTTTGCCTTGTGTCTCTATTATTCCTGGCTCTGACTTTGGCTTGTTGGCCTTGGCTAGGATTAATGTTTGGGCACTTGGTGATCAGGCCAGTTATTCTAACACCCACATCCTGGACTCTGACAAACTTCCTCTAGTATGCCCTTCCCTGTCCTTCCTGTAGAATTTGTCTCCATAAGTAGCTCATGAGTGTAACATGTTCCCCAGCAACTGGTGCATGTAGGCATAAACCTCCAATAGTAGGATGCATCATGTTCCCATCAGCATTAATAGCCATCAATAACCCGATCCTTATGAATTGTCCAGTTCCCCTTTAAAGCCATCATTAAACCTGATAGTTTAACTACATGTTCTGGGAAGAAGCATTTCTTTTGACCTGTCCCTGGTTCAGATAGTAAGCTTCATGGGGTGACCCCATCGGATTCTAGTATCATGAGAAAGGGAGAAAAATGCCTCTCCATCTTTTCTCCATACCATGCATATTTTTTTCTTTCGGCAGCTAATTGTTTTTCATTTCTGTTTCAGATATAGTAAGCCAGAAGTAAGGACTTAACTTCTTCCATTGCAGAAATATGTGTTATTGGCTAATGTGGTTTTTGGGCAAATCACAATGATAAGCAAACCAGCCCTTGCTTCTTTTGCTGGAAAAGACCAGTTTCCCCCTAAGACTTTCTGGATATTAGAAATGTATTATTTCAATGGTATAGGGGTTTTCTCCATCTGAGGGGACTGCAGTGTTTGGATACAGCTGAGGACAGGCAGAAGAATATAAAAAAGAAGTCACTTTCCCTTCAGTCCTACTTACACATTTCATTTTTCTGACACAAGATACAAGGAAAAATCCAGCAGTGAATGTCCTAAAGGCAGATGAATCTTTGAAGAAATAGTATTTTATAGATGAAACTAACGGGTAATGGAAATTGTCCTTACAACTGTCAATATGAAATGCTGGGGGCTTCCTTTTAAGTGATTGAGACCAAAACATAATTTACAACACTGCTTCCATACAAAGAGTTAAAAGTAAACTATTCTCACATTTCACTTGGAATATGTCCATTTAAGGTAATTTTATGTCAGCAAATTTGGTAATGCCATTTTTAGAATACCTTATAAAGAAAGACTGCCCCATAATATGATCAATTCCCTGGAAAATAGTCCATAAATGTTTTGACCCCAGCTTTGTCCTTCCATGGAAAGTTAAAGGACTTAGGGTTTTTGAAGTGGGATTTAATTTCTCTATTGCTTATGCCTGGTCAAAGAAGACAAAACTGCTTTTCAGAGGTGCAATTTGTTCATTGTGGGGCTCAAACGAAGGACTGGAAATGGCAGATGATCCCCAGTAATGAGATCCCCAAGCCTGAAATCCTGATCAGTCTTAAATCATGAACATCTAAAAATGCTTTAATGAGTTTAAACTCAAGCGCAGCATTGTCTCATACACTCCAACAGTCTTGAGGAACAATGAACCTAAAAAGCAAGTGTTTGCCTTCCAGATATCTTGATACATTCAGGATGCTTTGTGCACACACAAAAGGAAAGCGTATTGAGTAGAAGACAAAGAGCAGGCACAAGCTTTTAACCCAATGTTGTCTAGGCAGCAAATATTCCTATTGTACCCTAGTCTTACTCTATGTTTTCAAAGAGGTGGGGGGCTCCTGCTGAATAGCCTTATAGGGAGAAGCTAACAGAAAAAGATGAGATCCAAACCTACTACCTGTCTGTCAGTTGTGTCGTGAGCCAAGGTTCCTCCCTTTGAAAGAATGTAAGCCACACTTCTGTGTAAAACACTCCTTGTGCTTCTGAATACAAATCTCCCAGAACAGACCACGGAGCATGCATAAAGCAGTTTGTTAAACCCAAACTAGGGATTACCTCCTGAAACTCAGCTCTCCACTCATCCAATTAGGCTTCTCACCTCTGCTGGCATCCTGCCATGGGATCCAACTCAGAGGGGAGTGGCTGATCTACATCGGAGAGTTCTCATCCCCAGTAACCTTTCCCTCTGGCTGGGTTACCCAGGCCTTTCCCAGAAACAGTCTGGCTCAGTGAAGCAGCCCACCTTGAGACAATTGTTCCCTCTTC